GTGGGCGAGTGGGTGAGTGAGTGGATCGGTGGGTGGGCGAGTGGGAAAGTGGAGCGTGGGTGGATGGGTGAGTGGGTGAGTGACTGTATGAGTGGGTGGGCGCGTGGGTGAGTGGATGGGTGGATGGGTGACTGTGTGAGTGGGTGAGTGACTGGGTGGGTCTTTGATTGGGTAGGTGGGTGAGTGTGTGGGTGGGTGAGTGTGTGGGTGGGTGAGTGGATGAGTGGGTGGGCGACTGGATGAGTGAGTGAGTGAGTGGATGAGTGGGTGGGTTAGTCGGTGGGTGGGTGACTGTATGAGTAGGTAAGTGGTGGGGTGAGTGAGTCTGTGGGTGAGTCTGTGATTGGGTGGGTGAGTCTGTGATTGGGTGAGTGAGTTGTTGACTGTGTGGGCGAGTGAGTGGGTGGGTCACTTGGTGAGTCTGTGATTGCGTGCGTGGGTGAGTAGATGAGTGGGTGGGTGAGTAGATGAGTGGGTGGGCGAGTGGGTGAGTGGCTTGGTGACTGGGTGGGTCTTTGATTGGGTAGGTGGGTGAGTGTGTTGGTGGGTGAGTGGATGAGTGGGTGGGCGAGTGGATGAGTGAGTGAGTGGATGAGTGGGTGGGTTAGTCGGTGGGTGGGTGACTGTATGAGTAGGTAAGTGGTGGGGTGAGTGAGTCTGTGGGTGAGTCTGTGATTGGGTGGGTGAGTCTGTGATTGAGTGGGTGAGTGAGTGGTTGACTGTGTGGGCGAGTGAGTGGGTGGGTCACTTGGTGAGTCTGTGATTGCGTGCGTGGGTGTGTAGATGAGTGGGTGGGCGAGTGGGTGAGTGGCTTGATGACTGGGTGGGTCTTTGATTGGGTAGGTGGGTGAGTGTGTGGGTGATTGTGTGAGGTGGTGGGTGGGTGGGTGGGCACGTGGATATGTGAGTGGATGGGTGGGTGGGTGGCTGTGAGTGGCTGCGTGACTGGGTGGGTGAGTGGGTGAGTGGGTGAGTGAGTGGATGAGTGGATGGGCGAGTGGGTGAGTGAGTGGATGAGTGGATGGGCGAGTGGGTGGGCGAGTGGGTGAGTCGGTGGGTGGGTGGCTGTATGAGTAGGTAAGTGGGTGGGTGAGTGAGTCTGTGATTGGGTGGGTGGGTGAGTGAGTGGCTGGGTGACTGGGTGGGCGAGTAAGTCGGTGAGTGACTTGGTGAGTTTCTGATTGGGTGGGTGGGTGAATGGATGAGTGGGTGGGCGAGTGGGTGAGTGAGTGGATCGGTGGGTGGGCGAGTGGGAAAGTGGAGCGTGGGTGGATGGGTGAGTGGGTGAGTGACTGTATGAGTGGGTGGGCGCGTGGGTGAGTGGATGGGTGGATGGGTGACTGTGTGAGTGGGTGAGTGACTGGGTGGGTCTTTGATTGGGTAGGTGGGTGAGTGTGTGGGTAGGTGAGTGGATGAGTGGGTGGGCGAGTGGATGAGTGAGTGAGTGGATGAGTGGGTGGGTTAGTCGGTGGGTGGGTGACTGTATGAGTAGGTAAGTGGTGGGGTGAGTGAGTCTGTGGGTGAGTCTGTGATTGGGTGGGTGAGTCTGCGATTGGGTGGGTGAGTGAGTGGTTGACTGTGTGGGCGAGTGAGTGGGTGGGTCACTTGGTGAGTCTGTGATTGCGTGCGTGGGTGAGTAGATGAGTGGGTGGGCGAGTGGGTGAGTGGCTTGGTGACTGGGTGGGTCTTTGATTGGGTAGGTGGGTGAGTGTGTGGGTGGGTGAGTGGATGAGTGGGTGGGCGAGTAGATGAGTGAGTGAGTGAGTGGATGAGTGGGTGGGTTAGTCGGTGGGTGGGTGACTGTATGAGTAGGTAAGTGGTGGGGTGAGTGAGTCTGTGGGTGAGTCTGTGATTGGGTGGGTGAGTGAGTCTGTGGGTGAATGGGTGAGTCTTTGATTGGGTAGGTGGGTGGGTGAGTAACTGGGTGGGTGAGTGACTCTGTGCGTCTTTGATTAGGTGGGTAGGTGAGTGTGTGAGGTGGTGGGTGGGTGAGTCTGTCATTGGGTGACTGTGAGTGAGTGAGCATGTAAGTGCATGAGTGAGTCTTTGATATGGTGGGTGAGGGTCTGTGGGTGAGTGGGTGAGTCTGGGATTGGGTGGGTGGGTGAGTAACTGGGTGGGTGAGTGGCGGGGTGTGTCTTTGATTGGTTGGTTAGGTGAGTGTGATTAAGTGGGTGGGTGAGTGAGTTTGTGGATGGATGACTGTGTGGGTGAGTGGATGGGTGACTGGGTGAGTCTGTGATTGGGTGCGTGAGTGGCTGGGTGACTGGGTGGGCGAGTGGGTGATTGGGTGTGTGAGTGGATGAGTGGGTGGGTGAGTGGGTGTGTGAGTGGATGAGTGGGTGGGCGAGTGGGTGTGTGAGTGGATGGGTGGGTGAGTGGGTGGGTGACTGTGTGAGTGGGTAAGTAACTCGTTGAGCTTGTGATTGGGTGGGTGACTGTGTGAGTGAGTGCGTGAGTAAATGGATGTGTCTATGATTTGGTGAGTGAGTGAGTCTGTGGGTGAGTGGATGGGTGACTGGGTGAGTGGCTGTGAGTCTGTGATTGGATTGGTGGGTGAGTGTGTGGCTGAGTGAGTCTGTGGGTGATTGAGTGGGTGGGTCTTTGATTGGGTGAGTGGGTGGGTGACTGAGTGAGTGGGTGAGTAATTGGGGGAGTGTGATTGGCTGGGTGAGTGAGTCTGTGGGTGAGGTGAATGACTCGCCACATCTTCGGTGTTGTCCCTCGGTTTACAAGGTCATCGTCTCCCACTCCGCCCTCCCGTAGGTTCCCCATTTATCTGAACGAGAATGGGAGCACTCCTAAGGGGGACGACTCGGCAGCCAGCCGCAGCCAATCGGCGATTAGCATCGCTGGATAAGCCTCTCGACGTTAGATGATGTTGCTGCATTGCTAATGGGAATGGGCCTGAATTCTTGGGAGTAGTTGTTGTTTTGACTTACAAGTTAAAATTAATGTGAGGGAAGTCAAGGAGGCGAGAAGAACAATAGAGCTTAAACAATTACGTAAAAAAAATTGAGACATTTTTGACCGTAGAAAAGCTATGCAAATATAAGACTCGTGGTGTGTGTTACCTTTTCTGGCAGTAATAAAACAGCCAGAGTTATGTTCAGATGGTCAAACACCAAACAGATTAAAGCTTGCAAAGGGATCAAGTTACAGCAGTAACCACAAGCAGTACTTGTGGTGAACATGCAAACGAAACATGGCTCTGACAATATATGGCATTGTCTTTTAACCCGATTGGCCTCCAGCAGAGACAGCAGGCTTCTTTAGGGCCTAGTCTCATTTGCAGTGTTGGTACACCAGTATAATGTGTCGAGGGGGAATGGATGAGGTTCAAGACTGTGGCTCATGCAGCTGCAATGGCTTGTTTTGGGTACACTGTCCACTTCCCCAGAGACGCTGGCTGAAAGAGGTGTACAGCATCCCATGTCAGAGAATAAGGAGACTTATCGCAGCCTTCGCTTGGAGATTCGGAGAGCCATGAGGCGCTACAAGGATAGGTGTTGGTGGTTGCGGATAGCTGAGGAGATGGAGTCTGCCTCAGTTATCCACGATCACAAATCACTCTTTAACTCCATCAACAAAGTAACTTGCAGCACCACACCTATCACCATCATTAGGGGAAAGGACGGTGATCCAATCTCCAACCCCCATGAACAGGTTTGCAGATTTGCTGCACGTTTCTATGAGGTCTTGTGGGAGGGGAAATCCCTCAGCCTGGAAAACATCATGGGGCAAAATGAGTATGACCCTGCTGAGGCTGTAGTGCCTCAAATATTCACAAGAGTGAGTGGCTAGCTGAGGTGCCATCTGTGGAGGAAGTTCAAGGGTGATCTAGAGTCTGATAATAAAAAGCGCTGGGCAGAGATGATCTGCCAAGCGAAATGCTGAGGGAGAGTGGCATCTGTGCGCAAACTGCCCTACATTATGTCATCACAACAGTCTGGACCACTGGACGGGTTCTGCAGGATTGGAAGAATTTCCTGGTGGTCCCCCTCTTTAAGAAGAGAGAATCGCACAGACTGTAACAACTACTGCCATGAGGAAAATCGGTCGCATCTTCTGGCCAAACAAGATTTCAAACCCGGGGGACCTTTACAATTGAGACCAATTCTGGACACATAATGCAGGCATGTAACAAAGAGAAGACTCGGGTTGCTGGGACACGAGCTGAGAATGGAACCCGAGTCCATAGCAAAAAAAACCTGCCCAACGGTGGACAAGACAAGGGAAGAGACCACGGGGGGCAGGCCGAAGACTGCCTGGCGACATTAAAGACAAAACTAAAGACCATGGGGGTGCTGTCTTGGGGTGAAGCAGAGGAAGCTGCTAAAGACTTTCCGGCGTGGCCGTGGGCTTGTTGCGGCCTCACACTCCACAGGGAGCAAAGATGACTTGCCAGGAAAGGTCCCGGCAAAGGATTATTGAACGTCGCCTTGCCAGGCACGCTGAAGAGAGGCTTACGGAAGCCCCAATGTAGTTTCAGGCCAATGCAGTCCTGCACAGATGCAATATTCTCTGTCTGCTACAGGAGAGGTGTTGGGAATTCCAACAAGACCTACATTTCTGCTTTGTTGACCTGTTCAAGGCGCTATGATACTATCAACAGGCCAGGGCACTGGGTTGTTCTTCGTGTTTTCGGAGTCCCTGTATCTCTGCTCACAATAATTAAGGATCTTCATGATGTTGAGCAGGCTCACATAAAGCTACGTGGCTGGGAGTCAGAGCCATTCCCTGATCACCCTGAGGTGCAACAGGCATGTCTTCTGGCACCCACATTATTTAACATCTATTTCGACCATGTAGTTCGAGAAGCCTTCCATGGCTGTGTAGTGACGCAGTTCAGAGACAGAAGTAATAGGAGGCACCTTCTTTATTCTTACACACAATGGGGACTATACACACCCTACGTGGGTGTACACTTTATATATCACACACAACCATCTATTGTCGGCGGCACTATCTAGCTAGAACAGATGGCAGGTTGTCGAGCTATGGACGTCCAGCAATGGTGAGGACGGCGGCGACGATGGTGGCGAGACAACAGCATAGACCTGAGCTCTCGCTCAGGGCTCCCTCTTATGCTCCTGGCATGGCCTTGCTCCGCCCTGGCCACACACCCCTACTGGAACCTACTAGCAAGTTCCCGGGGCTTCCATATGGACCCCTCCATGAACTCTGCCCTAGTTGTCTTCCCCCTGTATATACTGTCACCTGCTGACGTGTGTACTACTGTACACTGCAGTTACCACTTTCAGTCAACAGCCAGCACTATCACTCTACAGCTGTACCAGTGGAATCTCCATCTGGTTCAGATACAATGGGAGGCTGATTGATGCCCCGGTGTGGTCAAGGGATGGCTCCCTACTGGTCAACTATGTTACATATGCTGATGATTTGGTGATTGCTGCTCACTCAGAGGAGGAGTTGGAGGTGCTGCTGCTGAACCTGGAGTGTGCCACTAAGAGGTGGGGCCTTACCGTCATCCCCACCAAAACTAAACACCTGCCTGGGTATATTGTATCATCAAACAATCCACCCCCTTAACTCCCCATGAATGATGGGACAGTTGTGGAGAGAGTGGAGAGTTTCTATACCTGGGCAGTGTGCTTATGACCAGCTACGGTTTGGCAGCTTAGATATCACTCGGAATCAGTCGGACGGCATTATTTGGCCCCGCAGTCAACCCACAGCACCACCTGCATCTGTCCCGTGACACCCTTCTACACCTAGCCTGGCACAGGAGTCAACCAGTGGCACCACTTGGTTTTGTCCCGTGACCTCCTCCTGAACCTAGCCTGGCACAGCAGTCGACCCAGTGGCATTCCACATTAACCAGCCGCGTATTCGCCCCTTTCCCACTTCCGTTTTTTCAGATTCTTACCCGAAATGAATCCACTCCCCTCATTCCAACTCTCACCGTCACCACCGCCACTACTACAGCTACTACTATCTACACCAACATCATCATCTTCGCCACCACCACCGACACCGAACTCCAACCACTGTGTGCCGTCCCTCTATGGCCTCAGCTGCACCCCCTCGGATCTGAGCCAGACGGGGCGCGCCCTCCTCCTCACCATCCTCTTCCTCGCCATCCTTATCACGCTGGCGGGCAACCTCCTCATCATCGCCTCCATTGCCTTCTTCCGGCAGCTGCAGACGCGCTCCAACGTCCTCGTCGCCTCGCTCGCCGCTGCCGACCTCCTCGTCGGCTCGCTCATCATGCCCTTCAGCGCCATGCGCACCGCCGACAACTGCTGGCCCTATGGCGACCTCTTCTGCCGCCTGCACACGTGGCTCGACTTCTCTGCCACGTGCTCGTCCATCATCAACCTTGCGTGCATCTCGGCCGAGCGCTACATCTCAGTGAGTGACCCGCTGCGCTACCGGCAGCGGGTGACGCCGCGCGTGCTCATCGCGATGCTCACCCTCTCGTGGTCGGGCCTCGCCGTTTACGGCGCCACCTTCCTTGCTGGCTGGAATGTCGCGGGCATGGAGGGCGTCATCGCGGCCGAGAGCTGCCCACACAGCTGCCGCGTCTTCATGAACGCCGCCACGACGTTCGCCAACGTGGGCGCCTACGTGGCGCCAATGCTCGTCATGGCGGCGGCCAACGTGAAGACCTACGGCGTGGCGCGCGACCAAGCAAGGAAGGTGCATGCCTCCGGGCCGCTTGATGCACATGGCCGGAGCCGCTGGGAGGCGATGAAGCGCGAGCACAATGCCACCAAGACCATGGGCATCATCATGGGCGTCTTCATCCTCCTGTGGCTGCCCTACATCCTGCTGGCATCCACCGAGCCCATGTTAGGCTACGGCACGACGCCGGCGACGTGGGAGGCGGTGAACTGGCTGCCGTACATCAACTCGACAGTGAACCCCGTGCTGCTCGCGTCCTTCAACCGCTCCTTCAATGGCGCCTTCCGCGTCATCCTCGGAGGCAAGGCAACCAGGCCCGGGGCACGCGGCACCGACCTCTACAACCTCCGGGACCGAGTGGGGTGATGGGAGTGTGGTGGTGGTGGTAGGGGTGGTGGAGGTGGGCCAGAGGTCAAGTTGATGATGGTGGTGGTGGTCTCTGGCCCCCAACTTCCTTCTCCTGCATCTCTCTCTTTCTAATTTCCTCCTTCGCTACGTCCTCTTTGGGATAAACTGACCATAGACTAAGCACTGCCCATACGCTCAACACTGCCCTTACTTTCAACACTGCCCATAGACTCAGCACTGCACCATAGACACAACACTGCACTATAGACTCAGCACTGCCCATCGAATCAACACTGCAACAATACACTCAGCACTGCACAATAGACTCAGCACTGCACCATCGACTCAACACTAAGCATGCGCTCAATACCGCCCATAGACTCAATACTGCTCCAAAACTCAACACTGCCCCATAGACTCAGCAATGCCTAGAGAATCAACACTGCGCCATGGGAAATGCAGGAATGCGACTAGTGCTACTTGTGAAATGCGTAGCACTAGTCGCATTCCTGCATTTCGCATAAATATGCTAAATTCCTCTTCATATGCAAATTCTTTTGTCAAGGCGCTCTTCCTCCTCCCTCCCAGCTTAAATAGACACTCCAAGCCTAGGACGTGTCATTCAGACTCTGTCTTATCGACAGACATGTTCTTACCTGAGGACGGCTGCTTGCGTTGTGGCCGAAACGTCGTGAGAATTATTTTATTATGTTTTATTTTTATTCTTTTATTACTTCCCTTCTACGTGACTTTACTGAAAGAACCAAGAAGATGAATCCCTGCAGTCACGAAAGCTTTAAATCGAAACTCTCCATAGACTCAACATTACACTATAGACTCAACACTGCACCATAGACTCAGCACTGCACCATCGACTCAACACTGACCATGCACTCAACACTGTACCATAGACTCAACACTGCCCCTAGACTCAACACTGCCCCATAGACTCAGAACTGCCCATAGACTCAACACTGCCCATAGACTAAACACTGCCTATACTCTCAACACTGTCCATAGACTCACCACTTCACCATTGACTCAGCACTGCACAATAGACTCAATCGACTGCAATCGAAACGTCGTGAGAATGTTATCGTTGTATTTGTATTATTGTATTATATCCCTTCTACGTGACTTTACCGAAAGAACCAAGAATATGAATCCCTGCTGTCACGAAAGCTTTAAATCGAAAAATACTTCCCATTAACTCAACATTGTACCATCGACTCAGGGCTGCACCATAGACTCAATACTGCACCATCGACTCAACTCTCCACAATAGACTCAGCACTGCACATAGATTCAACACTGAACCATAGACTCAGCACTGCCCCTAGGGCCTAGACTCAACACTGCCCCATAGATTCAGCACTGCCCATAGACTCAACACTGCACCATAGACTCAACATTGCACCATAGACTCAGCGCTGCACCATAAACGCAACACTGCCCATAGACTAAACACTGCCTATACTCTTAACACTGCCCATAGACTCAACATTGCACTATAGACTCAGCACTTCCCATAGACTCAACACTGCACCATAGACTCAACACTGCAACATAGACACAGCACTGCACCATTGACTCAACACTGCACATAAACTCAACACTGCACCATCGACTCAACACTGCCCATGCACTCAACACTGCAACATAGACTCAGCACTGCACCATAGACTCAACATTGCACCATAGACTCAGCGCTGCACAATAGACTCAGCACTGCACCATAGACTCACCATTGCACCATAGACTCAGCGCTGCACCATAGACTCACCACATCACCATCGACTGAGCACTGCACAATAGACTCAATCGACTGCAATCGAAACGTCGTGAGAATGTTATTGTTATATGTTTATTATTTCCCTTCTACGTGATTTTACCGAAAGAACCAAGAATATGAATCCCTGCAGTCACGAAAGCTTTAAATCGAAAAATACTTCCCATGAACTCAACACTGCACCATCGACTCAACTCTCCACAATAGACTCAGCACTGCAGCATAGACTCAACACTACCCATACCCTCAACACTGCCCATACTCTCAACACTGCCCACAAACTCAGCACTGCACCATTGACGCAACACCGCCCATAGACTCAGCACTGCCCATATATTCAACACTGCACCATAGACTCAACACTGCAACATAGACTCTGCACTGCACAATAGACTCAGCACTGCACCATAGAATCACCACTTCACCATCGACTCAACACTGCCCATGCAGTCAACACTGCACCATAGACCCAACACTGCATCATAGACACAACACTGCACCATAGACGCAACACTGCCCATAGACTCAACACTGCACCATAGACCCAACATCGCATCATAGACTCAACACTGCACCAGAGACTCAAGACTGCAACATCGACTCAACACTGTACCATAGACTCAACACTGCCCATAAACTCAACACTGCACATAGACTCAGCGCTGTACCATAGACTCAGCACTGCACGATAGACACAGCACTGCCCATAGGTTCAACACTGCACCATAGACTCAACACTGCAACATAGACTAACCACTGCATCATCGACTCAACACTGCCCATGCACTCAACACTGTACCATAGACTCAATACTGCCCCATAAACTCAATACCGCCCCATAAACTCAGCACTGCCCATAGACTGAACACTGCACAATAGACTCAACACTGCACCATAGACTCAGCACTGCACCATAGACTCAACACTGCAACATAGACTCAACACTGCCCATAGACTCACCACTGCACCATCGACTTAACACTGCCCATAAACATAGCACTGCACCAGAGACTCAACACTGCACCATAGACTCAGCAATGCACCATAGACTCAGTACTGCACCATAGACTCAACACTGCCCATAGACCCAACACTGCCCATAGACTCAACATTGCACCATAGACTCAACATAGCACAGTCTACTCAGCACTGCACAAAATACTCAACACTGCCCATAGATTCAACACAGCACCATAGACTCAACATAGCACCATAGACTCCGCACTGCACCATAGACTCAACACTGCACCATAGACTCAACACTGCATAAAAGACTCAACACTGTCCATAGACTCAACACTGCACCATAGACTCAACACTGCACCGTAGAATCTTGTTTAGTCCCATAATTTGAACTGGACATACTTCATAATGTAGTCAACAATTGGGACATCGTCATTCACCAGAGAAGACGAAGTCAACTGCGTGTGCATTTGTGGTCATGACGGAGGCTCGTGAAGGACCCTGCTGCTACTGGTTAGTTGGAGGCAGTCTCCCCACTAGCAACGGCAACGGAAGTGAGAGGAGTGACGCTCACAACAACGAGCGGGGCGCCGGGCGGATACAATGTCAGCAATTTCAGCTATTTCAGCAAGCAATTTTAGCAAGTTGGTGGTGCATCGACCAATCATCTCAGTCAGTCAACCCATGGCACCTGCAGGGTCTGTCCCGTGACCTCCTCCTGCACATCACCTGGCACAGCAGTACAACCCATGGCACCTGCTGGGTCTGTCCCGTGAATTGCTCCTCCTGCACCTAGCCTGGCACAGCAGTACAACTCATGGCACCTGCAGGGTCTTTCCCGTGACCTCCTCCTGCACCTAGCCTGGCGCAGCAGTACAACCCATGGTACCTGCAGGGTCTGTCACGTGACCTCCTGCCAGCAGCGAGCCTATCGACACTTCACGTAACTGTCTCAAAGTGCGTCGAAGTCCGCGCTAATTTGGCCAGTGTATAAAACTGGCTCCGGAAGAAGACCATAATATCTTCTTGGTTCTTTCGGTAAAGTCATGTAGAAGGGAAGTAATAAAATAATAAAAATAAAACATAATAAAATAAAAAGACCCTAATAATTACAGGTTGGTCTCTGTTCTGTCACTACAACGTTACAGAAGATACTTAAATCGCAAATAAACTGCGAGCCAATAAGTAACAATCTCCTGCACCGTAAACAGTCAGCGATGATGAATGTAAACAAAATGTTTCTGCAGTAACCTGGATATATATATGTAGTTGAAGTGTATAGTGTACACTAGTGCATTGTGTAGTGTGTATAGTACTTTATAGTTTAGTGTATAGTGTAGTGTGTATAGTTGTTTACAGTGTAGTGTATACTTTAGTGTGTATAATAGTTTATAGTGTAGTGTATAGTGCAGTGTGAATAGTAGTTTATAGTATAGTGTATAGTGTAGTATGTATAGTAGTTTATAGTGTTGTGTATTGTGCAGTGTATAGTAATTTCTAGTGTAGTGTATAGTGTACATCTAATTTATCTCGCACCGTACATAGCCAACCGTGCCAATTGCAGGTGCGGGGGTAGGACAAGGAACTAAACACAACAACAACAACCAGTAGTTCTAAATAAATTAGTTGTCAATCTAGTATAGTGGTGTAGTGTATAGTAGTGTAGTGTATAGGAGTGTGTAGTGTCGTTGTTTAGTAGCGTATAGGGTAGTATCGTGGATAATAGTGTAGTGGATAGTAGTGTACATGAATGTGATGCATAGTGTCGTGTGTATAGTGTATGTATGTTAACTTATTTGGAATGGTACGTAGCCAACCGTGCTAATCGGAGGTACGTGGGGAAAGGACAATAATCCGAACACCACAACAACCAGTTATAAAGAAATGAGTTTGTCAATCTCAATGATTTAAAGTTGCATAGCTCCAGTGGCTACTACCTCTGTGCCACCACCACCACTCCGTGACTTGTCAAAAGCTTTTGACACCGCTGCCCATGATATTCTACTCACAAGACTCTGTCAATTATAAAATGTTCAGACGGTGCATCACAATAAAGTAGTTTAAGAGCCACCGCTAAGACTGTTCTCACATGGTGCGTCGTGATGACATTCACAAATTTAACACGTAGGAGGATTTTCCGACTAATATCATCTATAATACAGGTTTTTGAGGTTAGTGTAAATATATAAATGTGTAAAAACATAAATACGTGACAAACCTTACTAATTGGCTGTGTCGGGTGGTGACGAGTTTAACGACACATGTA